GTAGCACTTGCTGTTTGTCATTTCTCTGATCACAAATGCAGACAGTGTTTTGTTTACGCGGCGCGATGCAATACAACGCAACGCGTAAAAAGACAGTATAAGTCATTATAATCAGTAATTATGTCCCCGCTGGATGCAACAATTGCCTCGTTTGTAATGGGTTTTATGTTTTTGCCTCTTCGCTCCGGCCGGGACACGGCATCAACAGTATGTGAGGGGCGTAACATTTCCGTCTCACGCTTGAGGTATTCGGCCAATCACAACGCATTGGATAGCTAGCCAATCACAGCACACCTCGCTTTTTCAGACCGATGAGCTTTGTAAAAATCGACGCGTTTCAAAAAGGCGGGGCATAGAGGAGAAACAATAATGTACAGTATGTGGAAAATGTGTTTTTTTAACTTTAAACCGCATAAACACATTTCATTACACCAAATACGCAAAATAATGTTCTTTTTAGCAGCATCATATGACCCCTTTAATTCATACAGGCCTACCTCATGTTGCACGCGTTTGCACTTTTTGAGAAAAACAATGGCACAATAAAAAAAGACTTTTCAGGTCTTTGTCCAATCCCTCACTTTTTCTAGTCATATAAGGTTAAAATATTTTGCGTGTAATTTTTTTTCTCACATCACAATATAATATCGATATCGCCTGGACAGTGTAAAATATCATGATATGAATTTTAGCTCATATCGCCAACCCCTAATTTATATTCTTTACAGAGTGGCTAGTTCATATATCACTTACCTGACTGCATATAGCATATATACCCTCTGTTACTTTTAAGTCTTATATGGCAAAAATATAAAACAAGAATTCTGAACATGGATTTTTCTGCAAATCAGTGCATATTTAATTATATAACGCCTCATTTGCATATTTAAACATACCATTTCGAACAAAAAAAAAAACCTGGAATTCAAACAATTGTCATATTGTTCTGTGATTAATCAAATGGGGAAGTAAAGTGACATCTTTTTGTAACTATATTCACTTGTGGTGTCTTGCCTTAATGTCAAATTATGGTGGCTCCATATAAATTATAAACGTTAGGCATCGCGATATAAACAACAAGAATTCAAATTCAACCCAGCGCACAACATGACAGTAAAGGTCTGTTCTTGCAGTAACTAAAGGGGAAAATCCAAATACCTGACAGGCAGCGGGTAACAATCCAGCAGCTGACTAGACGGGGGACTAGTCTTGCATTGACTAGATATGACAGTCTACATATGATGTGTATAAAATCTAGCAAATAAGCCACACGAGTTACATGCAAGATCAGAACTGTAGAGACTTAAGAGGTGTGTCTTATCACCTGTCGCATATGCTGACAGAAAGGTAATAACTCACGCACAACTTCATAAAGTCAAACTAAAGGTTTCAATAACGCTTCATTAACAATCTTAAATCTCTGTTCGCACAAAAACCTAGCTCGTATGCATATTGATGGCCCCACAAGTTGGCCAGGATTCGTATTTAAAATGACACGCAGCTGCCGCGCGTCTGTTTCCAAAATATTAATAGATACGGCCTCCACCTCCAACTACTGTTAGTTCACAGCACCAAAAGTTGGTCGTTTGGCAGTTCCCGGTCGAAGAGCTGGCTTCCAGCTCGGCTTACTGACCGAGATTCAGTCACAAATATTTCAAGTCAGACGCCTGTCAGATACGCGCACAAATAGCAGGCGAGCTAAAGTAAAGCTGGCGGCTAATTTGCAGCTCACTCTCGCTACCTGTCTGACAAAAACCGTATTGGCGGCTAGCAGCTTGCTAACTAAACTTGTTCTGCTGTGACAGAGTAGCTTGCAGAGTCCCCACTTGCCCCCGACCGACGGCGGCAGCGGCATACCACTTGAGGCCTGAATGTCTGTCCTCCTGCTCTGCTCAGAACTTCAGCAGCACACAACTAACAGTTAAAGTCGTCCATTTTTCGCGGGCCCTGACTTCAACTTCGCGAGCTCCATGTCGCGAGCTCGTAACGTTCAGCCGCACTCACCCGGGCTTGCGTCCGCTGCTGGAGGCCAGTGCAGGTCTGTCAAAGTTAGCTGTCCCCTCCCCTTCCTTTTTTCGATCACAGCCGTCTCCTCGAAACGAGCCTCAGCGCTCCGTGTTTATCGTGGGTTTGAGACCCGCAATCCCTTTACCGGTTTGTCCGTGGCGTCTCCTAGCTTCTCCGCCTCTCTCTCGCGCTCGTTCGTCTTTCTCTCTGAATAGCTAACATCCGGGGACTGCGCGGATCAAAAATCCGGAACTACTTTTGGACATTAGCCGGAGAACGGCCCACAGTACCAAGCTGCGACAGGCTTTGCAGCCGGAAAGTAGTGCCTTTAGTGTACAAGAATATCACGAGAATTATTAGGCTTTTCACATTTACCCTAATCACAAAAATACCATACAATAAAAAAAATATAGAATATGAAATGTACTAGTTGATTCAAAAGAAACTTTATTATTGCTAATACAGCACAGATCATAAAGCCTTTGTCGAAAGAGTAGCAGTATGTCCGAATAGAAATTAGATATTTAGGTGTAGATAATTCCCAACATTTTTTTTTTTATTTAATAATAAAATGAAGATAGTTTTATGCGGTTATTAGACTTTATTTGGTTTTAAATCCGTCAATTCTTGGATGTTGAATTACTACAGTGGATAATTTTGTCAGGTATCTTCGGTATTTTTAATAATAATCAGTATTTTAAATATTAAATGCCTAACTGATTAATAAGAAACGTTATTGCGGCTAATAACAGTGCAGTTCACAAAGCCTTTGGCAAATGGGTAATGATATCTATACAGGCCTACTAATATTATTTTTCCTAATAAAAAGATGTGGACAGCACCCCAAAATTATTTACTAATAAAATAATGAAGGTTTAAAATAATAATAATAATAATTTCAATAAAGACGTTTCCCCGCTGTGAGCCGTTTGTCTGGAGGAAGAAAAATATTCCTCATTTGTTTTACTTTTGTGGTCTTATTTTAGGCCTTTTTATCTTATTTTAGTTCTTAAAATAAAGAGCATTTATTTGTAGGATGTGTAAATATCACATTTATAATGCGAAATTTTTATAACCCCAGTCCTAAATGTTTGCAAAAAGATTTGCAGCTTTTAAGTAAAATGATTCTCATTTCGTATTGCTTACACAATGCTGCCCCCTGTGAACCGTACGTGGATTACATGTTATACAAATATTTTGCAGTTAGTTCTTCCTTCAAAGTCTGCATTAGAAATGTATTTTATATGTTGGATGGATAATTACACCGTTTATTGACCACAGTAAATTAAAAATATTTAATAAAATACGTATTATGCTCTTCTTCTTTTATCTCTGTTTTCTTGTGTACTTTCTTTTGTCTATCATACCACTGTGGTCCATGTTTGGAGAGTCATCTGAAAACCTTTATTTTGGAATTTCCACAGTGGTAGCCCTCTGAAAGCTGCGCATGCGCACGCTCAACCATAATAAGTTGTAGGAACTGCTCATGTTGATCTGTCACACACTAGGTCCAAGTTTATTAGGGTCCTTCGCAGGTGAATTATATTCTTGCGCGTATTATTTGTGAGAAAGCAAACAGGTAAACATTTGTTTAACTTATTATGTTTATTTATTCATATCTGCGCGATAATAAGAGAAGCTTAACGTACACTGACAGCGAGAATGTATTGTTTGAGGGAGCATATTTGTGTACTACGCATGTTAAGTGAAAATACATTCGTTTTGTCTAGTGAAAGTCATGATAATTATGGTACTCTTTCTCACACTTAATTTGACATTAGTGCAAGAACTTGGTCAAATATTCATCTGACCTTAATTTCATAGTTGACCAACAGTATATTGCTCAGGGACAATTATGCAGAATATAAAGTCGTATTATTTTAAGGTCTGGAATCTGTCAGAATCTATCATCTTCTGTAGCTTATTTTTAATTACAAATCGCCATTCATGAACACATGCATAGTGATAACACTTTATTAACTAAACCCTATTTATTTTAGGTTTATAATGGCCCACTGTGACCCTCAGCCTCGAAGGCAGTGGATGGAGGACTGTCTGAAGAGTTTGCGGTCCCCTCTCATGTGGAGGAGGTCAAGAAACTCATGGCAGAGTTTGCCGAACATCATGGATCGGCCGGGCGCAGAGTAGTCATCACCTCAGGAGGAACCAAAGTTCCTCTGGAATCCCGAACAGTACGGTTCCTGGACAACTTCAGCAGTGGTCGGCGAGGGGCCTCCTCTGCCAAGTATTTTCTGGACTCAGGCTATGCAGTGATCTTTCTGCACAGGCATCGTTCTCTCTACCCATACACTCGTCTGTACACAGGGGTCAATTTACTGGATAGCTTACAACTAGTGACTGGTAAGGAGGACGCTGGTCAGATCCTGGTGGATCAGAATGCACTTCCAAACATTGCAAAGGTTCTAAAGCGCTATCAGGCGGTGAAAGCCGCAGGATTACTGCTGCCGGTGGAATTCAACACCTTGTCAGAGTACCTCCATCTACTCAAGGCAGCAGCTCAAGCATTAAGCTCCATAGGTGAGCAAACCCACTTTATGATTATTTGAGGCTGAATACATTTGTAGTGGAATTTCTAGTTACTACTATTCATTTATGTTTTTCCCTCCTAGGGTCCAAGGCCATGTTTTATTTGGCTGCTGCTGTTTCTGATTTCTACATCCCAGCATATGAAATGCCAGAACACAAAATTCAGTCTTCTAATGGGCCACTTCAGATGTTGTATAATAAATACAAATATAAATTCAGTCTGCTATCCCAGGGGTTTACAGTCTTTTAGATTTCCGTAGACCCCTTCAAATATGATCATCCTCATGCAAGGGACCCCATTTAAAAATTTAAAAAGCAGCTATATATTTTCATTAATAAAGATGCAATTTATGTGAAAAATTAACATTATGAATTTGTGTTTATTATGTAACAGTAAGGTTTTTCTAGTCATTTTAGTACCGAGCTGTTTGATGTATTATTAATTTTTCAGTGTATTTACTTGATTTTTTTATGATTACGTAATTGAGTAATTTATTACGTTTTTATTATTGATTTATTTATATGAATCGATTTTATTAAAGTAGTTCACAATTTAATGTATTAAATTTTTTTATTGCATCTTTTCCATGGACCCCCTAGCACTCCCCTGAGGGTCCACGGATCCCAGTTTAAAAACCCCTGTGCTACGCTACATGCAGTTAACCTAGGCTCCAAACCTCAGATAAAAAGTAATTCATCTGCTTGTTTGATGTTATTTAGATAAGTATGAAGATGGTTCCCAAGATGCTGTCCCCATTGGTGAAGGACTGGGCACCTAAGGCATTTGTCATCTCTTTCAAGTTGGAAACGGACCCCTCCATCCTTTTGGAGCGAGCATGGCGTGCCTTAGAAACATACAACCACCAGACAGTGGTTGCGAATGTTCTCGACACACGCCGTGGTTATGTGGTTGTTGTCACCAAGGACACGCAACAAGAGCTGGTCCTCACAGATGAGGAAGTGCAGAAAGAGGTAGAGATTGAGGACAGGATCGTCAGTAATCTGACTGAAGCACACAGTGAATTTATGTCTCGACAAGTATGAAAAAACTTGCTGCGATTTTGTAGCATGTCTACTGTAGGCTCAAGTCAGATCTGGGATTAGTTTTTGTTGTATTGTAATAACTATGGTTCAAATCTGAATAGAGAAACAGATCCTGGAAAACTGACTTGTCGTTCAAAAAATTACATCTGTAAGTTCAGAAAAAAACTACTAAGTTCCTTAATATTGATTTCCTCTATACAATGAGATCAGCATACATTTTATTTTATCTACTTTCTTTGGCCTTTAATCAGTTTGAAAACAAGAAAATATATGCTTCAGTAATTATTATCCTAATCTTGCCTTTGCTTAGTATTTTTAAAACTTTGAGTCCATCTGCAACAAATCACACGCTTTAACAGCTGATTTAAAGTAAATTTTAAATAATATAGGATGTATGTTTAATGTATAAAAAACAATCTTTCGGCACATGCATCACCAAAAATGATTTTGCATTTTACTGTGATCAGAACTTGATTTTATTTCATTTGCTGTTTGAGCAGTTGAATTAAACATGTCAAATCCATCTGTTAATATCTGTGATACAGAAACACCAGAAAAGTCAATTTTAATATCACATTCAAGCTTGGATGAGTATCATCTGCAGATTTATCACTTGAGTTTGACGCTTCTCTTAACTCCGGCACGAATACCAGACCATTCTCCACTGTATCTCGTCTCCTCACGCCGCACCTCACGAACCTGACACAAATAATCTGAGGTCAGAGTCCATTTTGGGTAGTGATACCTTATATTTCACAAACAAAAGTGAATTAAAGAAATTAATCCTGACACTTACCTGACCCTTCCGACGAACCTGGGCACGTCTGAACTTCTCTCTGTGTTTGACTCTGGGATTCCGATCAATCTTCTTCCTCTTGGGTGTGAGCCCTTTGTTCTTGGACATCTTTTCACAAAACATATGATGAGATTCTGATAACATTGTCCCTAACATTGTTTAAAATGGTGCTTAAGTTTTTTTGAAAAGTGGGTATGCTGGAGCATGCATACTTTAACCACAACACCTCACCTGATAGGTGATCCGTCTTTTAGCATTTCCCTCCATCTTTTCCTCCTCCACCAAACTTGAAACGCAATCAGTGACAGTAAGTTTTCTGAAGCATTATTTATGACAAACTGAATGTTGTAAGTGGACTCACCTGTCCTCGTTCTGCATTTCATTCTTCTTCCTCTTGAGTTTCTGTCTCTCCGCCATGGCGTTATAAAAGCGCAGATTTGCTTCCTCATCGAATTCTGACTCCTCTGCTTCTTCCAGCCTAGCCTTTTCTGAAACCTAAAATAAAGACATGTCAGACTTAGCGAAAATGGAGCCAATGCTATAACTTCCATAAATGAAAATGGAATTACTAGTAATTACTTTTATATGTTTGCTGCTTGCTGATTTCTTTAAAGTTCTGTTTAGCTGTTCTCCAGAGAGAAGTTGACGCAGTTGAGGAGCCAGTCTAGCATCTACTGCTCCTAGTTCATTTATCAGCTGTGAACGTGATGAGATCAAGTTTTGAAAGATTACGATTTTTTAAATGACTACCTGTGAAAAAAGGGTAAATTTGTTTGTACTTACATTTCTGTAGGTCAGCAATCTCTCAATCACAGGATGATTATGTGCTGGAATTCGTTTCGCTTTTAGAACCAAATAAAAACTAATGTTTGTGCAATAGCTGGAAAAAAGGGAAAATTCATAGTGAAGTGACAATAGGGAATATTTCACAATTTATGTAACTATTCAGTTCAAGTCAAGGAATGTTTATAGTGAAAAACAAATGCACTACTGTTCAAAAGTTTAAAGTATGTACATTTTTAAATGTTTAAAAAAAGCCTCATACTCGTTTATTTGATCAATACAATCGATACAGTAAAACTAGTAATATTGTAAAATGCTATTACAATTTAAAATTACTTTTTTCTATTTTATTTATTTATGATTTAACGCCATGTCAGCAGCAGTGGCTATATTCATGGCAAGAGGAAACATTTCAATTTCACAATTCAGTCATATATATAATTTCAAAACAATTATATCACAGTTTTGTTTGGAAAATTATATAAATAAATAAATAAATAACTAAATAAATAAATAAATGTACAAATATAAAAAAAACCATACATATAATAAAAATAATAACAAAAACAAAAGTAATAAGAACAATTATATAGTCTTTCAGCTTAATGCATGACAAAAATTTTACTTTTTTTAATACATTTTAAAATGCAATATATTCCTGTGATGCCAAAGCTGAATTTTCAGCAGCCATTACTCTTTAAAGTCACATGATCCGTTAGAAATCAATTTAATGTGTTAACTTGCTGCTCAAGAAACATTTCTGACAATGATCAATGATGAAAACAGTTGTGCTGCTTAATATTTTTGTGGAACCCTGATCGTTTTTTTTTTCAGGAACAGCATTTATTTGAAAAAGAATTATTTTTTAACAATGTAAAAGTATGAACTCTTTTTTTTTTTTATCAATTTAATGCATCCTTGCTAAATAAAGGTTTTTCTTCAAACTTTTTATTGGTATGTTTGAGCTATGACTGTAACTACTATGTAATATAAATACTGCAATCACAGAATTAGAGTATATAAAATGTGGTAGGTAAGGCTTACTTAAGATAAAGCTGCTGTTTGGCAATGAGGTATTTTGCACCCTAGAGGATGAAAAGGATACAAAAAAAGTTATAAAATGACAGCAACAACAAAAAAACATTAGACTTCATTTTAAAGTATAATTACATAAAAATTGAATAACAGTCTAAAAACATGCATTAAGAGCTATAATCAGGTAGACTAGCCTTTCCAGGAGGAATCCGTCCATCTTTGACCATTTCCACAAGGGGCTGAACTTCATCCCTCAATTCTGTAAGCTGAGTATGCAATAAACACTCAATATTTATCAATAAAACAGCATTAAGGGAATGCAAAAAGCAGCATAAATGTCATTGCAGCAAATCTCTACCTTTGCTTTGAAGTCCTGAATAAGTTCCAACAACTCTGGTGATTCTTTCTTTAGCAGTTTGAGCTTTTCCTTCAGTGACATGGTCTTCAAATCCTTTACAATCCTTTCATCTTTTCCAACCTCCTTCTCTGCTTCAGCCGCTGCTGCAAATTCCTAAAAGTCCACAGGAAGGGTACAAGGACTTTGGGTAATATGACGCAAACACCTAAACTCTACTCATAGCTTTAGAAAACGAAGTAAATTCAGTACCTCAAGAAGGTTTAGATCATAGTCTTCCTCACGTAGGTTGGCTGCCAATCTCGTTTGAATTTTTTTGGCCTCCTCTTCCTCTTCTTTGTCTTCTGCCTCTATGTCTTCAATAGATTTGCCCTCTGCAAAATACAAAAATCAAACATGCTGGAATATGTATGTATTTTACACATATGAATGTGTAAAATATCTTACACATGTTTAGGGGGAAGTCGTGGCCTAATGGTTAGTAGGTCGGACTCGTAACCCAAAGGTTGCGGGTTCGAGTCTCGTACCGGCAGGGATTGTAGGTGGGGGGAGTGAATGTACAGCGCTCTCTCCCACCTTCAGTACCACGACTGAGGTGCCCTTGAGCAAGGCACCAAACCCCCAACTGCTCCCCGGGCGCCGCAGCGAAAAAATGGCTGCCCACTGCTCCGGGTGTGTGTTCACAGTGTGTGTGTGCATTTAGGATGGGATAAATGCAGAGCCATACTTGGCCACATGTCACGTCACATTTAGGTAAAATTAAGAAATCCTTACTTTTAGTGATATAATCAGAATCATAGAAAATCTTCTTTTTAGTTCCCCAAGCCATGTCATTTGGGAGATCTGGAAGAACGGAAATGGAAGTGTCAGAGACAATACCTCAAACATTTTTGAGCGTTTTTAAAGTGGAAGAAAATACTTGAATATTCTCATAAATGTTTCTTTAATAACACTGTAATACAAAAAAACATGCATAAACAGTGTTATATTTGGCTAATCTTTAAAGCATATTACCATCATCTTGCTTTCCTTCCAAGTCACTCTCCATGTCTGTCTCTTCCTCTTTTTCATTATCCTCTTCCTGCACTTCCTCATCATCATCTGAATCAGAAAGTGCCAGGGGCATGATCTCCTCCTAGAAAGAAAAAACTATTATTGCTGATCACCAAGCAAAGCGGAAATGGTCAAACTACTACCATAAGTAAAAAAAAGCCCCATGTTAAAAGTTAAAAAAAAATTGTTTTAAAAGTTGTTTTATTTGCTTACCACTTTATCTTCATCCTCTTGATCGCTGTCTTCTTGAATCCCTTGAGCCAAAAGTTTCTATAGAGAAAGCCAGAATTGGAATATTATGTAATAGGATATTATTGTGGCAGTTCATGCTTAAAGAACAAGAGGAAAACATAACTCACTGATATTTTTTCATTGTGGAACTCATCTATTTTATCCTCCACATACTTTGACGCTTTCTGATGAGAAAAACAAAGTTGTTTACAATCAGATAATCACAATAATACAAACCAAGTTTTATCCAAAAATTACCTTATCTGGAATGGCTTCATCTCCATAAGCTTCAGGATCATCACTGTCATATTCTTGCTGCTTCTTTGCTCTAGGCTTTTTTACTATCCTTTGAATTTGGGGAAAATGTAATATTTTAATAAGTAACACTTCAATGGTAAAATCACAAAGAACTTAATTAAATATATTTGCACTGACAATGTAGTGCAGACGTCTACCTACATAGCTATCTCGTGTCTTTTTGTACAAATTTGTTTTGCAACCATGCAAAATACAATAAATTGGTTGATTTAATCATCGATTTAAAAAAAAAAAAAAGTATTTTTCATAAACTGATATATCTGCTCTCCGTTATCAAAATATTCTAACGTTGTGATACCGCACAAAACCAGCAATGAATTCCAAAATCAAGTAGACTAACGTTAACGTTACCTACCTTCTTGCTCGGACCATGCTGTCAACGATTTACAAAAATTACTATATAATTTAAGTATTCGAGCAGTTATACGGCTCATAAACCAAAACACAAATGGGTGAAAACAGGCCAGCAACTTTCCGCGTGGATTTCCCTCATGCGTTCTTCTTCTTCTTCTTCTTCTTAAGTGTTTTTGGCGGTTGGCAATCTTCTTCTTCTTAAGCGGTTTTTGGCGGTTGGCAAACCAGCTAATAGGTGCTTTACCGCCACCTGCTGGACTGGAGTGTGGAACAAAAGTCTGGCTGAGAAAAATAACAGGAATAATAATAAAATAAAGGGGGGGTTGCCCTACTATTCTATGATCTTCATATTCGTTCTAGGATACCCGTCTCTTTCAGATATGAAATTAACTGTACATATGTTTTCCTTAGTGCTGTTCCAAGTATATTTTCCAAAGTGAATTTGTTTATATTTTTCA